CTAGGACTAGGACTAGGACGAGGACGCCGACGTCGACTACTACTGTCACGTCTACTCCGATAACGCTTACATCTACGACAACGTCTATGGCGTCTGCGGACACGGCGACGAGGGCAACAACAACAGTGACAGTGCTGGACCTGAAAGTTAGGACGGGAATCCCTGAATCCAAAGCTATGCAGCCAAAACCAGAGTGCCTCCACGCTGAACCCGGGACCGTGCTTGGCCCAACGCCTTGAACCCTCTAGTCTGCGCCTACCCACTCCGACCCGCTCCACCCTTCCATTTCCGAGATCCAGTCCGTGTGCGGCTTCATCTGCCAGCCTCCCAGTTCATGGCTGTGTTCGTTTTGAAGCATGGGGGTTGTTGAGCTGCTGAGGCTGGGGTTTCCATATGCAAATAGAACTTGCGGTCGGCATTTAGCACACAAAGCAAGAATGCCCTCAACTGGCTTGTTTGCGGCTGAGGCGTTTGGCAATGCACTGCCGCCTGCAGATACGAGGTGAGGGACAGCAGCATTTTTCAGCCTGAGTTTGGTTCGCTCGCAGAAGGTACATGGAGCAGCCGACGATGCCCATGGACCAGCAGATGTACATGCAGCAGCAGCAGCAGCAGCANNCAACAACAACAGCAGCAGATGCAGATGGAGCAGCAGCGCTACATGGAGCAGTGCCTTGCCTACGCTTGAAGTGTCGCTGTAGCCAAATTCATGGCGGGCGCCCCGCACTTTGCTGCCAGTCGGATCTGCGCTGTGACTATCTAGTGCCATTTTCATCGTCACCAATCATCGTGCTCATGCAGAGTCACGGACGCGCAAAGTAGTGGTGTGAGCAGATGTCCTTACCTTGAGATACGAAGGCAAAGATATGCGGAGCAGCAGATGTACATGGAGCGGATGCGACAGGCACATGTGTGTGCAAGTTGAGGGTTACACTTAGTGCGAGCACGCACAGGCCTTGAGTCAACCGCAGTGAATGCAAGGCCCAATATTGACACTTCGAACCCCTACAGAAATAGCTATACAAATCTTCAACTTCAAGTCACTTAAAGTCGTTGCAGCGGCAGCTGCGCAAACAGCGCATAAACGTAGCTAAGAGCAGATTACGTGCTGCTAGACTTTGACCATTGCCTCCTCTTCCTCCTCCTGCTCCCTTCATCCTGATGGAGCCGCTGCTGCGCTGCTGACTGTTCCTCCAACTGCAATTGCCACCACTACTACAAGTACGGCTTCGATGGGGACTCCTTCTATAGCAAGCATTCTGCTTGCTTTGCTGCGTTTTGGTCGGCAGCGCCTCACAGGCAGCGTTTCGTTTCGTAAGTATTGTTTTTCATTGTTTGAGGTTGTCGGTCAACGCATTTTGCACGGCAGGAGCAGTACATGGAGCAGATGAGGCAGAGGCCACCCGAGGGCCGGACATCGGGGCGGGCACAACTGCAATATCGGTACGTAGTAACATCGAGCATAGCAGTAGTATTTAACATCTAACGTCACAGTACTGCTGCCCATTGCTGCGCATCATGGCCTGCAGCCGTCGGAAGGATGATTATGATGAGGATGATGCTGATCCTGACCACCGTGTTGNNTGATGCTGCTGCTGCCGATGATGATGGCAACGGTGACTGTGATTCCGCCGGTGACGGTCTTGATCATCATGGTGACGAATGAAGAAAATGATACTTGTGATTATGATGATTAAGAAGAAGATGATGGTGGTGGTGGT